ACCACGGTAGAAAAAATATATGAAATTTAGAATGATTAGGGGGTCTTAAATTAAAACTAATTATTGTAGAAATTTTATTCCATATGTACATGAAATAATTTGAAGGATTAATATTTCAAGAATTAAATTTTGAAGCCATGTACATTAGTGTTTCCTCTTTAATGTATGTATGTGTATGCATTTTTGTGTGCTGGCATGTATTATAGAAAAATATAATACAAGTTATAAAAGTATAAAATACTCTATAAATTAATAAATATTCATGTATCGATAAATTAATAAATTATTCATTTATCGATAAATTAATAACCGCTCTAAAATAATAATTTTCTCGGTCCCAACATTAATATTTTACAAAGTTTTTACTGTATTAGTTGTGAGTTTTTTAATTTATTTTTAGTTAACTCAAGCATAAAAATATTTGTTTCCTCCACTTATATCATGCCTAAATCTTTTGTATTTTAATTTTGCTTTTAACTTTGTATTTATATTCGTGGAAAACTATGATTTTGTTGGTATAAACAGTACTAGATAATACCAAGAATATAGCATAAATTAAATAACACCAAGGATTTTTCGCGCATTAGGCCCGGATGTTCACCCAATAAAGGGCTGATCACCACATTGAGCATCCACCAAAGTGGTTATGCTCTAATCCACTAAAAATCAACAAATATTATCAGTACAAGAGTTACAATACAAAAATCCAAACGGTTTAGCTTTCTTCAGTCAAGAAATCTCAACCGATTATACCAAGCAACCAAAGGTTATTTCTCAACTAAGAACGTAATCACCACAACTACAAAGCAATCTACACTAGACTTCACCAAAAATATTTACCACCAACATATTACAGATGAAAATCAAGAGTTTTTAGAGAGAGAACACGGAGAACAGAAAATAGAGAAAAACCTAGACAATTGGGCTGGACTTAGAATTAGATTGGGCTCTCTAATTAGGTTTCATCATTGTGCCGTCTAATTGGGTTACATCATTGGGCCTAAATTGTTAAGCATAATGTGTAACAATCTCCACCTTATTTAACATCTTTGGGTTTGTTAACTCCACCTTTGATTTTATTTACTCTATGTACCTGCAAAAAATTTAGTTAGTAATAACATTTAGGATATTTAAACAATTCCTAAATTTATGCAAATGAAGTATGTTTGCTCCCATATTTGCTGGATTACATTTAGTTGAAACCTTTTCATTTTTCATAATCCCATTTTCTAGGATATCTCTTATGAAATGAAATTTAACATCTATGTGTTTAGTCCTATCGTGAAAAACAGGGTTTCTACTGAGATGTTTAGCAGATTAGCTGTCAGAATATATAACATCATTATTACCAGAGTAACCAATCTCATCCAACAAGGTTTTAAGCTATATACCTTCCTTTATAGCATCTGTAGCTGCAAGATATTCAGCCTCTGTTGATGACAGAGTTACTATCTTTTGCAGCTGAGATTTCCAACTTATGCAGGTATCATTTAAAGAAAAAACATATGCGGATGTAAATTTTCTATTATCACAGTTACAAGCAAAATTTGAATCAACAAAACCTCTTAGTCTAATTCCAATTTTACTCATATTGAACATTAGTCCTAAGTTATAAGTTCATTTTAAGTACCTTAACAACCATTTTATGGCTTCTCAATGACATTCACCAGGATTACTCATATATTTACTTAAAACACTTAAAGCAAAAGCAAGATCAGGTCCGGTACAGACCATTATATACATAAGAAAGTCAACACCATTTGCTTAAGAAACTTTCTCCATCCTATTGTAAGTGTTATGCCCTAAGTCCAATCAACTTTGAATATAAACACTT